GTCGTTTGGGGTTTGTGGGGCTACGGGATAGCCCCCTGCCACTCTGGCAGGTGCTGTCCCGAAGAGTTCAGAGGTATCAGAATGAGTCAGGAACCAGAGTGTCTTAAATGTGAGTGACAGGGTTGTAATAATAAATTCTTAATCAACTCACAAACTGGTTCAAATGATAATGGTAGTCCAATGACAAGGATTTTGCAGTAGCATTGTAACTTGATGTAGTTGTGGTTGATAAACATACTGGAATTTGAATAAAGCCATCTCTTTCCTTACTCTGGAAACAGACTCTTTTGATTTCTTTCTCATAGCTGGTCAGAAGACAGAGATTGTTCTGTTTCTCATCTTTCATCTTCTGTTACAGGGGTCCTGGGGGTGGCAGACCTTGGCCAAACCCAACCAATGCCAATTCTGTAAGTAAATTTTAAAAATATATTAGACACCCTTTTATATCTAGAGAAGTATTTCTCATCAATACACAAGGAGAAAAATCCACTTCGTTCCAAAATAGAATACTGCATGCCTTATATTTTGTCCTGCAGAGCAGGTACAGTGAGGGGCACATCTGAACTGACCTGCAAATATCCAGCTTCGTTCATAATCACAAAGCAGCTCTGCATCTTTACATCAGTTACAGCATTCCCACAACACAAAGGTTATTCTGGGGTGTATTTAAAGTACATTTTAGGTTCCTTTATAGCGATGAGCTATGTCAACACTATCTGGCCAGCAATCTCTACAGAAATCACAGCTTGTGAAGATAAAGCCTAATGTGTGCTCACATACTTTATGTAACCAAAGCACATTTACTGCTCTTAACTAGGGGATATGGAATCATTGAGCAATTGCTTGCAAGACATCAGCCATTTTGTATGCTTTTTGTGAAAAGCAGAGCACTCGCTTGAATTCCACTGCAACAGCTACAAAATTAGGTGGTCTAATAGCAGCTTGAAGGAAGAGGAAGTCAATGAGGCTTCCAAAATGAACAACAGTGTCTGATATTTCTTCAGAAAAAAAGTAACGTTTTCATTTTCATTCCGTGATGCTGCAGCATTAGTATCAAAATGTGTCTGTTTTTAGCACTTGCAGTTGAATGGGAGGAATCTGGCTTAATAGACTAGCCTGGCTGGTTGTTGTTCTCAGTTTTGATTTTTTAATTCCACTAATGGCAATTGCGGGGAAAAAAAAAAAAAAGAAGAGCTGAAACACTTCCTCAGTTTTCTTATGCATATACTCAACTAAAATGAGTGTCAGAATGTTTTTCAACTGATAGTTGAAATATTTTCATTCTGTGAAATTGAGAAGTCCAGTAATAGATCAGATTGTCTAGAGCCATGTAAGATGCTTATGCTATGAAATAATTTTACATTTTGTCAGTACATCTGCTTAATTCCCATCCTCCAATAACTTTGATCCATGCTCCTTTAGAGAGAATAATAGCCAAGGCTATCATAAAGAAGGAAACCAGATTATTCACAGACAGACTTATCTAGATATCCTCTGCAACAAACACAAGTGAATTGGAAGTGAACATAGAACACTGGCCTTTTAAAAAAAGAATGCAAAGAAATACAATCAGTATAATTAGTATATTCTAGGGTGAAAGATATGAGAGTTAGTTTTCGTTTTATAGTCAAGATACTAATCAAGATTTAAGTTTCAAGAAGAACATACAAATTCAGTCCATGCTTGAGATTACTCCAAAGTCCTGTTGACTTAAATGCAAGTATTTGCTGCTTATGTTTATAAACTTAATAAAGCATACTACCTTAATAATCTTCTTGCTGAACATTTTACTAAAGAGAACAGATCCTAACAGACCTTATTGTGAGTCTCCCAATAAGATTAAGAAGACTTTCTTGCAGGGGATGGGAGAACTGGATTGGTACTAGATCTAATAACTTGGTATCTTAAAAAAGTGACACTGCCTGTTAGAAATGGACACCTCACTAGTGGAGAGCAATTATCAGAACTCAGCCTATGGATATTTAAATATGTGAATTATGTTACTTGTATTCATATCATTAGAGTGGCTACCAGGGCACAGTCATTTTAAATTTAAATGTTTGTATGTGCAAAATTGGGTACTAAATTTTGTTTGTGTCGATACTGCTGGTTTTTGACTTGAACATACTTACAACGACAAGTTGTTGAAAAGAAGAGGTGTTTGTTTTGACAACAGTAATCCTTAACTGTGTCTTAGGAATAAATTTTAAAACAACCCTTAACCTACTGCTGTACCTAAATGTATTTATGAACTCAGTCTCACTGCAGAAGAAATTACTGATTTGTTTCCATTGATATTACAGATACCTTACTCTTCAGCGTCTCCTGGGAACTATGTAGTAAGTACATTGTTGTGTTTTTGCTTATTAGAATAGATTTCACATTTTATTTAGACAAAGAAATAGCTGTCCAGATGTTAAGAACAACCCTTGTGTATTGGTTGAGAACTGAACATCTGATCTGCACTTACATTTTTTTCTGACATCTATGGTGCATATGTTGATGTTGATTACTATAATCATTATCAGTCTGGTCAAAATTGCCCTGAGTGCTGTTTTATTTCAGCAAACATTTGTATAACCGATACAGGATATTGTCTCCAATAATAAAGGACAAAAAAAAACAAACCACGTTTCTTGGTAACACAATATTGTGTATGAGTTCCTGAACTTCTTTAGAAAAAATAAAAGCATTTGAAGAATTAAAACAAGCTTTTATCTTCCCAAAGATATACAAATGGGTCCTTATAGCTACCATTTAAAGTGAAATTTGTATCTTGTAATTACCTTCTGAGGACTTAAAAATTCTTCTTGTTCTTCAAGGGTCTTCATTTCACGGACATTGTGTTAATTTACTATGGATTTGTTGGTATAATTGTTCTTTCTTAGTCTGTACTTTAGAATGAAATTTGTAACTAATAGATCTCTGTAATTGGACCAGCATTGAGCCGTCATTGAAATGAACACCCTCTCTCTGGACTTCAACAAATACACTTTACCTATCAGCAAAATGTTTTTGTTGGAGTGTATACTGTTGTTTTTTGTCTCTCCTAAGAGAATGACTTTGTTTATCCTTTTAGGCTCTTTATTGCTGTTGTTACTGTTGTACTTGGATTATTTCTACTTCTGATGTACTCCTCTAAGGCATATTATTTCATCTGTTTTTATCACATGCTTAGTACTGGTGTCACAGGGTAACAACAGAGAATTTTTCTGTGCACAAATATGTTTATATATAGATATAAACAGATAGATAGATAGATAGATAGATAGATAGATAGATAGATAGATGATGTGTTGGATTCCAAGTTCCTGCTGGTCAGTCAGGTTTTCGTAGACCTCTTTTGATATTCCATGTTTTATCACCTGAAGACTAGACAACCACAGGGCATTTGCTTTGAAGAGTATAGAACCTGGAGCTATTTCAGACTGTGGAAATAATGTGTCCTTCAACATGAGGACAACATGCCCATGCTTCTTCATCTGTTTGTGCAGATTGTAAATTCACCTTACTTTCAGTCTTCATGAGATGATCTTGCAGAGCTAAAACCAAAGGATGAGCTCAAGGATAAGTTTGTTGTGTTCAGACAAAAGCAATTTGTTTTGTCCTTTATTTAAATCGTTAGGAAAAGGTTATGGTTCTCCTAAGTGTCCATAACTGTATTTGCCACATGTTCCATGGAAGCAGTCCAAATCTGCTTATCTCCAAACCAGTTCTTTTGAATGCAGAACTTTGTAAATTTCTTTCTGTTGGGAAGAGGATTTGTTGGTTTTTCCCCAGATATTAATGATTGATTATTGTTGCAGATCTTGAAGATTTTTTAAAAAATATTTGACTTTATAGTTTTGTTTTTTTGAAGTGTAAAGTCTTGAGAAACTAGAAACTAAGATTCTATAGAAAATTATTTTAAAGAAGCAAACCTAAGTAAAATGCAGGTTGTACGTAGTGAGTTCCATTGGTGTACTCACATCAAACCAAAGGTCAGGTGGGATAAATGACTTGGACAGAAGAGAGCATCACCGTATTTCAGTGTATAGATAGATATTTTCCTTGGCAGAGTGACCCTCTTAATCCAAAACAACTGAATTTGATTGCAGCATTTAAAGAACCAGGTTGTTGCTGAAGCTTTTCAGCCAAAGGGTTTGTGATCTGGAGCTACACACTTTGAGAGTTTAATCTGGTTTGCTTATAAGATAGTTTTTGAGAAATAATTCTGTTACATATGAACATATTCTCAGAGTGGAAATAATTAATACTGAGAGGCTCTCTAAGAGAAGAAAATATGGAAACAATTGTAGTAAATGTATATTTAAAATTAGATGCAAAAAATAATAGTGAATATAAGGAACTTTTCTAATTACCAGTTAATGGCTTCTACACCTCTTTGTGTGATGCTGAAAAACATACAAACCTAAGTCAGGGTAGTGAGCTCAGTGCACAAGTACATGGATAAAAAGCCATAGCCTGTGATGCCTAGAGGGTAATTTATGTGGTCTAAAGGCCCCTTGGAATTTGGAGTCTGTAGTTCTGCAGCTCCAGCAATGGGAGAACTCTTTGCTGAGGGCTGAATTAGACCTTTCAGGCGGTTTTGGCAAGCCTGATCCTTGCACATTCATTTCTGGTTGAGTTGTAATTGGGAAGGGGACAAAAGCTATGTGGCTGCTGGCAGTATGAAATGAAGTTGTGATTGTGCCTCAGTTTTTTAAGCTGATTTGTGGGTTTCATGGCAGAGCAAGCCTTTGTTCTAGCACACTTTATAAAAAGATACCCAGTGACCTTGCTTAGTTTACAAGCAAGGGGAAACACAAGATGAAGAACTGGTGGGTGGGGTTACATTTAAGGACATGGAGGTATATCTATGTTTACTGGCTGCTTCTGCATAAGAGCTTTCTGTTTCATCTACAATTAACTGCCAGTTGATCACTGGCTGGCAGATACCGGTTGTTCCCCCTGCAATTATTTTACTTGTACAAGCCTGTAGAAGAGCAGTATAGATGAGAAAGTTGATACATTACTGAGTTTGATTGCCAGAAAATAGTATTTGCTGGTCTGTTATTGCTGAATGTTTTGTAAGAAATGTTACTTGACGTCAGCTGTTGTGAAACAGTGCCTGTTGTTTTAAATCCAAAACTTCTCTGCCTCCCTAAAAAAAATGCCTCAGTGAATTATAGCAAATCTCAGCAATGTCCTTGTAAGCAGACAGGAGGAACCAAACCTTTATATTCAGTGCTTCTGAAAAAATGTCCCTGCCTGGAACAGCGTGTCTGCTGTTTTAAAATATAAGGAAAGAGATAAATATATAATAAAGAGTCATATGGCAATGAAAATAATAATCTGTTGTTAGCAATCAGTGTATTTTTTATTATGGAATGTCAATTTTTTTTTAAACTTCTATTGACACAGACGTTTTTACCAAACTGGGAATTGGTAGTTCTTCATGTGACTTAAAAAAACAATAGTGCATCTGTGAGCACAGCAAGCAAGAAGATACATTTCTGTTCTTGCTAAGCAATTTGTATGTTAAGAACCTTAGAAAGCTTGTTTAACAGTCAGCATTTTGTGTACAGTTCATAGTCATACACAGATTTGCAACACAGGAATACTTGAATCTAAAAAAAATAGCTGTTCCTTTATAGGTTTTTTGTTGGGTTTTTTTACATTTGATTTAGTAGTCTAGGCAAGTGATACAATGGTACCCAACACTATGAAGACTTTTTAAATCCATTTGTCATTAATTTGAGAAGAACTTATGTATACAGATGTTATTTTTTAAATTGTGGGATATTATACAGACAGAATTAAGATGCCTGTCACATTGAGGTACCAAGTTTGCTTAAAAAATAAAGCTTTCTTAAGGTGATGAGATTCTTCTGTCCCTATAGGACATCCCCTTGCTTTGTGCTTAGAAAACAGTGGTTATCCAGCCATTGACTGTGTACAGAGTACAACAAAACAGAAATTCCAGCTGAAAAAAACATGGTAACAAAAGTAGGTTGAGGGAATTAAATATAATTGTCTTAGGCCCCGTTCCAAGTATTTCTCCTGTCTGAGCCACAGCATGATACAGATTTATTGACTATTGGATGTTCTTGAGCCTGCGCCAGAGCTCACTGACCGACTACCTTGTCTTAGTCTCTTTCACTAGCTGATGAGAGAATGTGCTTGTTTTTACCTGCATGACTTATGATGTTCACGATACTTGTTGTTTGTTTGCTTGTTTGTTTTCATTTATACTGTGTTTATTTTTTACTGTGACATGGTTTTTTTCCTTCCATGCTAACTGACATTTTCTGCTCTCTCTAGGGTCCTCCAGGAGGTGGGGGACCACCTGGAACGCCTATCATGCCTAGTCCTGCAGGTATTGAAATATACTTGGAAATAAAAAAGGATAATTATAACGAGGTTTTACAAAGTACAGAAATTATTTTTCAGACTTTGATCTTCATAAAGAATTGGATAATGATAAATTATTGGTTTTATGCTTTCAATATAATTTTTTTCCCTGAGCTTTCACTCTCTTTCTCTCCCTGCTATGTTGCAGAAATACAAATAATTGTATCTCTGCAGTTCAGGGGAATTCATTTACCTGGCTTTTGAGCCCATCTTTCCTGCACAATTTCAGAAACAGCAAGTTAAAGATGAAAGAAAATGCAGTCTTGATTGGCTTTTGCTGATGTTCTTTGGGGCTGTTTCACCAGCTTGGAAATGAGATTTCTGAACCTGGTGAAATATCCCCTGTAGTATCCTATGGGATATCACCTGTAGTATACTGGGGGATACACTTGACCAGCATGTGTGGCTTTTGAGCCATGTGCTGCCTCCTGCAGCTGTGTCACCTGGCTTATGTCAGGGTCATGCTGGGCAGGTTGCTCTCCTCTGTCTTGCCATGAAAGAGTAAGGCCCCAGAGAAGCCATCGTCACATTCTCCTACCAGAGATCTGTTCCCAGAACTTCATCTATCCCATTGTTTCCTGAAGTAACATGGTCTGTGTCTTGCAACTTGGACCACATGGAGATTTTGGCCATGCAAAAGATTGGCCACATTCTTACTAAGGTTTGAGGTAAAAAGGAGGAGGATGGGAGGATTCGGGGTGAGCATCTCAAGGCTTAAATATGGTCAACTAGATGTAAGTATTTCCCTCCATCCATTTTCTGCAAACATTTTGATATGAAGGTGTAACTGCAGGCTGTGGAGGGAGCTGTCCTCCACCATGGACATCATCAGAAGTTATGATGATCATCTGCTAAAATGAAACTAATTGCATTTTGTGTCATCCAGTATTCAGTGACTGCTCCTTTTGGCCAGTATCTGCCTTTGTAACTCACTCTCACCATCCAAGAGGGACCCATTCACCTCAGTGATTTTACAGCATCCTTAGTCCTTATGTCCTAGATGTTCTTGCTGTCCTCTACAGTACAAGAAAGACAGGAATTTTCCTAACTAGCCATAAAAACTTCTTGCACCAATGCAATATGTTCATTTAATACAATTCTAGGGCTTTAAAAAAATGCAACCTAAGATAAAATGTAGGGTTTCCTGATTCATATAATTAGTGAAAAAGATAATTAGTGCAAGCTGGCATTTCAAAGTTAGAGTCTCTTAACATAAAACAAACTTATGGACAGCTTGCACTTTTTAAAATAGTCAGTTATGGCACATTGTAGGACGTCTGTGTGCAGCTCAAATAAAGCTTCTGATGACAGTTGCTCCCATTTTCAGAGTCTCAGAGATGTTTTGAAGCTCTGTTTTTCCAAGTATGAGAACACTTAGAAATTTTCCACCTAATAATTTTGTAAAGGTATTTACTGACCTGTGAGACAGACTAGTTCCCATGGCCCAGCTAGCCCATACGTATTCTCACATGAGCCAGCAGAACTTGGGGAGAGCCAGGGATGTGTGCTGCAAAAGCACCTAATGGCTGAAGAACTTAACACCTACCTCATCAAACACTAAAAATAACTTTTTATGTGCTAATTTTACTTTTATAACTTTAGGCTAAGAGGTTTTTGTTCCCCCCTCTTCATAACAAGCCTATTTGAATGTTGTGGTGCTAAATAGTGTTCTGCATGTCATGGAATTATTTACTCACCAAGGTTAGTTAGTGTTCAGAAAACTGTCTCAGGAAGATTAAGGAACAGACCAATACTTTGATTTTAACCACCCAGTGTATGTACAGCTGAATTATTTTGGGGGTCCAGGCCATGTTTCCAGTTCCAACCCATTTCAGTTTGGTCTTGGTCTGACTCAGAAGTCCCCCATCACCTTGTCTTGGAAGAGGAACTATAGCTCAGCAGTGTTTTTCATCTGTGTTATTGATCTCAAAACTTCTTCAAAGAGGTGGAATGGTCTTTTGGAGGAGCTAAGTACAGAGTATTAAGTTATTCTTTATTCTTTTTCCAGATACCATAGAGGTTCTGATATTCCATGATTGAAAGTGTTTTTTTTTTAAATCATGCTGTGGCCTGAGGGATGTAGTCAGACTTTCCTTTCTGGAGATTACAATGAATAATTTGTATCTACTAATGGTTCTTACACATTATTTTCTTCGATTCAACCAGAAGAGTAATGTCAGTTGCCTTTTATGTGTCTTGTTAGTTAAATCTTGCACTTCAACTCTGGAGGTGCTCCACCTGGAAGTTCATGTGCACTGGCTGGAGGAACAGGGCTGAGATGCAGCAGAGCTGTGTCAACATCTGGCAAGGCCAAGGGAAACTCTTGGCAGCACTTGCTGCCTTAAGCACCATGCTGTGCCAGGGCAGTTTTGTTGGTGTTTTTCTGAAGGATTGCATGAAGATACATCAGATAAAGCTGTCCTTAGACACAGATCTTTGCACAGTGTTCCATTAAACAGTTAGATATATCCAGAATCAAAAACTGACATGAATGAGATGACAGAATTTTCATTTAATATACTAACTTGCAGCCAGTATAAATGAGAAGCTATTTATCATTTTTTACAGATGGAAAACAAGTTACAGAAAGTATTGATAAGGAAGAAACTCCTGTTTTATTGAGAATACTGAAGATGGGTTAAGTGATTTGAAATTCCAGGAAATAGGGCTTATAGAAATAAGTAGTTACAGATACTTGGTGATTTATTAGTCTTTCAGGAGTCATGCATAAAACTGGATTCTAGAAGTAGTCACTTAGGGACTACTGCAATTTTTTCTTTTCATAGCTCTCTTGTGTTGTGGCAATATATAGAAAGGCAATGAAGTCTTCCATTGTGTTGCCTCTGTGTATCAGTGATTCATGCATAGAAATAATATTAACAAAATTACAGGAAGTGTACTAGGTGAGTAGTTTTATTGAAAGGTATATATTAGCACTTAAAGTAATCTCTTATTACAGATTCAACCAACTCTGGAGACAACATGTACACTTTAATGAACGCAGTACCACCTGGACCCAACAGACCTAATGTAAATATGAAAAAGTTACATCCTTCTTTCCATTATACAGCCTTTTTGTATCCAAATACTGTATTTCCATCATCACTTATACTCACATTTTCAGTTTTATGGGTGACACTTCAGTTGCTTTCTCCCCACAATGTCCTTTTAATGTTTCCCAAATCAGTGATACAAATACATGCCAAGTAATGATTGGGGCATATATATTTTTACATGGAAAAGGAAGTTTGTGCATGTGGATCTTGGAGACAACTTAGTTTATCACGCTGTAGTGCAGTAGACTTCTGTGAGATAGGATGTCATCCTAGGAGCTGCCACTAAGCAGAGTTTCTTGAGAATTCAAACCATTGTTATAAAAAAGCATCTGCCCCTGAAAAGGAAGGAAAAAATTGCTGAAAGTGACCCAGTATTATGTTGCCTTGCTGTTCTGTAAAAAAGGATAAAATTAATACTTCTAAGAAGAAGGAAACTTTCCTGTTTATCTGAACTAGTTGTTAAGAATTAAATCCACTGATAAATATTTGCCTGCTAAAGTAGCTAACTGGTCACTATTTTAGGCTAAATTTCAGCACCAAAACTAATAAAAATTGGGATTCTTAGGCAGAACTTATTTTTCCTCTGACTTTTCTTTATACCTTCAGTGTAATTGTGTTTGTCTGATTATATTTCATTATTTACAAGCCACATGATGGGCCTTTTGGGAAAAAAAAAAAAGCCAGTAAAACTTAAAAATACAAATATTTAGATACTGCTAAATTGTTATGCAGTGAATTTTTTCTTTAATGTCCTCAAGTTTTGAAGAACTGAATTTAGGGTTAATATCTCAAATTGGACAGAAACTACTCATGCTGCAAAGGCAATAATGACAGTAGTCTGACTGTCAGCATGGACAGGGTGGAGGTTGAAAGCTGTTGATTAATTACTTACTCATTGAAGCGAATTGTAAAATTCCCTGTAACTTCAGTGGGAGTAGAGCTAGGTCAGCACTAGCAGATTTAGAAGTCATATACAAATTGCTGAAGTAAGTAATATTTTTTTTCCTAAATTGCATTCCAGCATACAGAGGTGAGAATCTCTAAAAAGATAGAGAAAGTAAACAAAAGCCATGAGGTTTCTGTAGTCTTCACATGAAGGACTTTCACTAGACCTGTTGTATTCAGAACTGGGACTGTGCTTTTGTTTATTTTTGTTTCTTTTTATTTTTTTTTTAACTCTGAGGAATGCTTTCTTTTTATTAGATTATCTACAAAAAAAAATAATTGTAAAGTAATATCAGTTTCTAATGTCTGATCCATTTGTAGTTTCCAATGGGGCCAGGGTCAGATGGACCTATGAGTGGACTAGGTGGAATGGATTCACACCATATGAATGGATCATTAGGTAATGATAGCAAATATTACTAACATTGTGAATTAGTAAATATTATGAACATTGTGAATTTTCTATGCCTACTTCTCTAAGCTCTGTGGAAGACTGTATGTAAAATCTTGTAAAAACTGAAGAAGCCATATACATCAATAAGAAGTATTAAGATACTTTGTAAGCATGAGTTGGCATACTTAATGCACCTCTGGAAGAAAAGTACTGTATTTTATTTTATTAAGAGGGTATAGTTTTAATCCAGTTGATGAAACCACACTAAACACACACCATCATGGTAACGTAGAGGTGAAGATTTAAGAACCATTTTTATTTACCTCTCTTCCTCTTTCAGAATCTTGGGAAGGTGTCATTTTGGCATGATGGTGCACTTACCAATTTCCTGGAAGTAAATTACTCTATATTTTAATGTATATGTTTTTATCCCAATATTTTTGTATTCTCATTTATTCTGTAATTAGCTGTATGGCAAGTATGAGTGATATTGCTCTGTCTCCATTAGCATCTTCAGACAGGTGCCAGATTTAGAGCACCTGAAAGAATGTGAATTCTTGTCAGGGCATGTGAGGCAGGAGGAGGAGTGTTCTGTTTGACTTGGGACTCATCTCTAGGGGAGAAGCCTTGCCACCACTCTGCAGAACACACCTTGCTCTATCTCCAGACTATCCTAGCAAACTCTTCATTCTTACTCTTTGCTGGAAGGATTATAGACGCTTGAAAGAGATTTAAAAAACAAGCCACATCTAAATAGTTACACTTACACCTTTCTCTTTCAAACCCACAAGGTAAATAAATACCTTCTTTTTATTTCTGCTCATACTGTAACACCAAGACAGTAGCTCTGAATATGGCTTATCTTGTTGTCTTCACTTCTGCCTGCACCAGGGGTGTCAGTCATGCAGGTGACAACAGGAGGGAACTTCAGGCTGCCAAGACCAGATCTCCTGCTATCCCCCTTGTCTACCAGCAAGGTTTTCTTTCACATCTGGAAGCTGACCCCATGCCCGCTGGGCACTATGGGCACCCTGCTGGGTTTCCTGCATGGGGAGGAACCCACGCAAGCTGGGTACAGCTCAGGCGAGCAGATGCCAAGCTGCCCTTGTTCTCCTTCCTTCTGTCACCAAAGAAGAGCTCTGTCACCTTCCCAGAACAGACACAGACCAACCTAAACTCCAAACCATTTCAGTCAATACTACCATGGAGAGTGGAGATCTATAATTTGCAGCCCAAAAGTTGGAGGTTTTGAGACAGTATTAACAGGTGAGCAGAGGGAGAAATTCAAAGAGGCTATGACAAAATGAGAATAAAACTTAAGTCATCAAACCTCATGTAGCAGATGTTTTCAACACTTAAAATTCCTTTTTTTCTAGCAAAGCATGTCCCTGAAATTCCTAGATTACTTTGCATAAGGACACCTTGTGACTCTACAGCCTTTCTTCACATATTACAATCCTAAAATGGATTGTTACTTTAATTAATAACGATGCACGTTACATTCAAATAAATGAAAAACTGTGTAAAAGGTAATCACATCTTTTTCTGTCATTTTCTATAGCCTGAGAATTATTTCTTAGCTAAAAAAAAATAAATTAAATTTAAACAGTTACAGAAGCATTTTACGTGTACCAAGCGTTTGGTTGGTTATTTTGTCTAAAGAAAACAATGATGTGCCTAGTCAAATTAGTGGTGGCTTCTTTCTAGGGGTAGTTTCAGAGCTACCTTGGAACATGAGTTCTTTCAGGAGAGAAGGGCAGGGAGAGATCTGCTGCATTTATTTCCATGCTGCAGTAGGCAGCCATGTCTTGTAATCAGACAGATAAATTAGTCAAGGTCTGTCTTCAGCTTCTCCAACTTGTTTGACCAGAGCCTTTCTATTGTATATCTGTTCATAGTTCTGCTGGTTAGAAATAAGTATTTTCCTAATTTCCACCAAAATTTATTCTTTGAGCCATGACAAAATTACTCTTGTTAGCATTTATGGATCTGATGTATTTATAGAGAGAAACTGTATTTCTTCTCAGCCTTAATCTTCCTGGCTAAGTATGGTAAGCTATTTCAGTCTTCTCCCACAATTCCCATTTTTTGGATTTTTTTTCTCTGATGTTTTTCTAGTTTGATATTCAATACTTTTCTGGAATTTTTATTTCCTGAAGAATAGGTGACCAAAGTTGTTTACTCTCTGTTGCTGCTAAAAACACTTTTCTTGATACATCCATCCTAAAGTTATATTTCCTTTAATCTTGGCTTTATCTGAGTGACAACTACAGCATGTGAAAAAATTTCAGTAGTCTTGCACTCATGGTATTTAATTTTATTTGGTTTCTGTTACTTTCATCCTCGGATCACCTGCTTTCTTCTGAAAGATACTGTCATCACAGTATTTATAGTACATCAAAAGTTCATGTCATTTCAGCCAGTTTCAGTACCAGGCTTCTGCTTTTGAGAGCAGAAACACCAATGAAACCCTGCCAGCTGACCTTACTGATCATAGTGAACTTTTTCCCCCCCAGGAATATCAATTTTTACTGGTTAGCCGTGATTTTGCTTTTTTTCCCTCAAGCTTAAACAACATTTCCCATAGGTCAATCTCCCTCAAATTAATTGCCTCACCTGTACCCTGCCATGGCTAATTGGGCTGGACATAGGTTTCCTAGAGTTGTGCTGGGTTGCCTTGTCCTGAAGGGATGCCACCCAGATAACTGATGCAGATCAGAAGCCCATCCTTCATTTTTTTTCTCACTTTTTTGTACCAGGTGTGTACACAGAGAAAGCACCAACATTATTCAATACTGACTGTAAACTTTTACTAAGGGAGACATTGGAAAGGAAGTGACATGATGCATGAGTGATTATGTTTTAAAGTACTAGTGTTGACGCTGTATCTTTGCTGTGAAAAAAAAGTTCTTAGATTAACTTCAGCTAAAAACTAACTGAAAAACTGTCTTTTTTAATTTAAGGTTCAGGAGACATGGACAGTATTTCCAAAGTGAGTATCAAATTGATCAAATACTTTGAATTTTTAGAATGTTTCACTCTAAACACATTTTGTTTGTGTCTGTTACAAAGCTTTTGGTTATGTATCTACATTTTCTACTTGTCACTCTTTGGAGGCTATGCAGACAGAATGAAGTTAATTGAAAATTAAAAAATATAATCAATAAGTAGACTTATCCCTTCGTGCATAATAAGATGTATTAATGAATGCTATTACTTATATCCAGTTCATAATCTGATTTATTTTTATAATCTTCCATACTGTTAAGGAAAATTAATATAGTTCTAATAATAAATTCTAGTTAAAGGTAAATTTGGGAAAATGTCATTAGGATGTTACTTTTATGCACTACATTACTGCTTTTGTCCCCTCTGTTAAGGCAATGTTAGTATCTTAATCGTTTGTATAAGTTTCTAAAAGCCAGATTAAGAAGTAGTTTCAGAAGATGCACTGTTCTGTTATAACAAGCATTAAATAGCTGGAAATCAATGTGAGTTTAACCTGCAGCAGGTTTGCATATACAAAAACAATACTGTGCTTGAATGTACCATTTCTTCCATAAAAATAGCACTACTGCATATGTGATCATCTTTGAGTTGGGAGGAGCTTATTTGGTGTTGATAAAGTGGCACAAACCTGTGTCCTGCAAAACAGTGTTCTCCTCCACGTCTTCAGATGTGACTGACTGAAACTAATAAATACATCACCACAACAATCCCCCTGCACTTTTTTGCTTTCAGTCTATAAATACAGAAATTAGTTAAGAGATTGTTTCAGTTAAAATATTACAACTCATAGGTTTGTAGCAAAATTCTTTACAATCTTCCAAGAAAGGAGTATGAGATTGATTTCAGCTGCCTGTACGTTTTGGTTGCCCCCAGAGGAGGTGCCACGGTGCTGCTGCTAGATCTCTCCCAGCACAGACCTTGCCAGTCTGTCTAAGGCTGGTTTGTACGTGTCCAGGCACACTAAGGATCTGGCTGTAGGTCTGTTCTCAGGAGCTATGATGAGATGCCAACACATAAGGAACAAAATGTACCAGTAAAAGCTAGGGTCTGACCTGCTGCAAAGCAACTTTGGGGAAAAGGACCACAGGGTCCTGGTGGACAACAGGCTGAGCATGAGCCAACAATGTCCCCTCACAGCCAGAAAAGCCAGTCATAGAATCCTAGAATGCCAGGTTGGAAGGGACCTCAAGGATCCTCTGGTCCAATGTATCTAGGTACTACTATAGTTGATATGAGATGGCTCAGCACCCTGTCAAGCTGAGACTCAAAACAGTCCAATGTGGGGGAATCTACCACTCCCTTGGGAGACTATTCCAGTGTTTGACTGTCCTCAAGGGGAAAAATTTACTTCTTTTGTCCAATCAGAATCTCCCCAGGATCAATTTGTGCCCACTACTCCTTGTCTTTTCCATGAGACTCCTTGTAGATAAGGAATCTCCATCTTCTTGGTAGCCACCCTTTAAATACTGGAACATGGAGCCTTCTTTTCTCAAGGCTGAACAAACCCAGTTTTCTCATCCTCTCCTCATATGGCAGGTCCTCCAGTCCTCTCATCATCCTTGTGGCCCTTCTCTGGACCCTCTCCAGCCTGTCTACATATTTTTTATATAGCAGGGACCAGAACTGAGTCAATACTCCAGGCGTGGTCTGACAAGCACCAAGTAGAGCAGGATGATGACTTCATGATCTCTGCTGGTGATGCCCTTGTTGATGCAGCAGAGCATCCTGTTGGTTTCTTTGCCCTGCATCACACTGTACACTCATGTTTAGCCTGTTGTCCACCAGGACCCTCAGGTCCCTTTCCACAGGGCTGCTCTCCAGCCAGGTGGATCCCAGTCTGAACTGCACTGCTGGGTTATGTGTTCCCAGGTGCAAGACCTCACACTTCTCCCCATTTCAGTTCATAAGGTTCCTGCTAGCCCACTCCTCCAGTCTGTCCAGGTTATCCTGGAAGATGGCCTTCCATTCTGGAGTGTCAGCCTCTCCTCTCATCTTGGTGTTGTCAGCAGACTTCATCAGGGTGTTCTTGATCCCAACATCCAGGTCCCTTATGAAGATGTTAAACAGCACTGGGCTCAGTATCAATCCCTGGGGGACCCCACTGGTTGCCAGTACCATCCTGGGGTGCATTAGGAAGAGCATGGCCAGCAGATCAAGGAGGTCATCCTCCCCTCTTCTCAGCCCTAGTGAGGCCTCACCTGGGATACTCCATCCAATTCTGGGCTCCCAAGTTCAAGAAACACAGGGAACTACTGGAGAGAGTACAGCACAGCCAGTATGATGATTAAGGGGCTGGAGCATCTGCCTTGTGAGGAGACGCTGAGAGAGCTGGAGCTGTTCAGCTTGGAGAAAAGGAGGCTGAGAGGGGATCTCATTAATGCTTACAAATATCTGCAGGGTGGGTGTCAGGATAATGGAACCAGACTCTTCTCAGTGGTATCTGGTGAGAGAACAAGGGGCAATGGTCACAAACGGGTACACAGATTTAACCTAAATACAAGAGAAATTACTTATTTATTTTGAGGGTAACAGAACACTGGAACAGGCTGCCCAGCGAGGTTGTGGATTCTCCATCCCTGGAGACATTCAAAACACACCTGGATGTGTTTTTGTGTGATCTGCTCTGGGGGTTCCTGCTCTAGCAGAGGAGTTGGACTAGAAGATCTCCCAGAGGTCCCTTCCAATCCCACCCTGACTATTCTGTGATTCTGTGAAAATGGCTCACCTAAGTTCCCAAGGGTAAATACAGAATTGGTTGAGAATACACTTCCAGGTGTTCAAAAGGCAGGAATCATTCTTGATTTCATGGAACATGTTTGTATATCCAAAGAGGAGGAGGAGGACCCTGTACAGTTCCCCTGTGTGGGACCTTCTGGTCACGTGCTATGGAGAGGGGTAGCCTGTGAAGTGTGCTCAATGTGTATCTTTCCTGGAGAGAAGGGCCTCAGCACTGTGTGTCCAAGGCCATTGCTGCTGCCTCAGAGGAGCAGCATCTACAACAATCCTGTATTTTTGTACATTTGTAAGATCTATAACATTTTCAGACTCTGCAAAAAGTAAAATGATGGATTGAATTGCCCATGTTGCCTTAGTTGTTCTGTGCTGTGATTCAATAAAAGCCTCCAACGAGCTAATAAGCATACAGCACTTTTAAAATCAATGTCCATATTTTTTCCTCAGTATTTTTAAGGGAAAAAAACATTCCATTAGTTAGACATAAGATTATTTTGAAAAGCCTGTTTTCAAATCACTGGTATTAGATATTCAGTATAAGTCCTAATACAAGTACCAGGAGCTTTAACAACTTCAATCCAGAAATTTACCTGGAACTCCTGTAATTTGTTTACCATGATAAATAGATCATGGAAATCACATTTGATGCATGTCTTGTTTCAACTATCTAAACAAAGAATGTTCTTTGCTTTGTAAGTAGCCGAGCTGTCCTGTTTCACACACCATCACATCTTTTTCTGTCTTGCACTGCCCATTATGCAGCCTTCATTGACTGTAGTAAAAGTTTTTGGGTAGCATTGGTGATTTTGGGCAGGTAGCAGTCCATCATGCTTTTGAAACCTGAATGGAAAAGTTTTGCTTGCAGAAAACAGCAGAGACCTGGATTTGATGCAGACAGGCAGGCAGGATATGGCTGCCTTCCAGTTTCGTACACCAGGATTGTTTTGCTGAGGCCACAGTCCCCCTTGCACACATCACTGGCTTTTTCACAAGATTTCCAGTGACAGAAATTGTGTCCACTGAAGTTAACGCAGTTTGTGGGGTGTGATGCTCAAGTCCAGGGACAGGACTTCAGTGGAGTAAAATGCATACTAGAGGAGCTGGTTATCAGTTCCCAGGAGATGCAGAAAATGGGTAGAATCAGTGCAGCTCACAGAATTCAGAGCTACATTTTCTAGAGAGGACTTTCATTTAATTGGCTGACTGGCAAAACATGAAGTTTTTGTAAAGCAGATTGAGATGGTGGAAGCAAATTAACTGAAATTATGCATATTAAATGAGCATTAATAACCAATGTTTCTTGCAGTGCCCATGGAATTTGTGCAGGCATCAAAGGCATCCTTGCTTTGGAAAAACTCAGCTAGTGCTACAGTGCTAGACCCCATACTGACCATAAAAGCAGCCCAGGGGAGTTGTTATAAAAGCATTTATGTCAGGAATTTGAACCTTTGGGGCTGGCATACTGTAGCAATTGTAGAATTTCAAAGCTTTGTGCTACACAGAGCAAGATAAAATAGGGGTAAATCCCCCGAGAATGAAGAACAGTGCGGGAGCATCGTATAAAATAAATGTGACAAGGCCTTAGGGGGTTTTAAACTTTATATTCATAGATTTTAAGGCCAGAAGGGACTAACACGATTGTGTAGTGTGAACTCCTCCATAACACAGGCAACAGAACTTCCCGGAATTAGTTCTTGCTTGAGGTACAGTAGCTGTGGTTGAACTAGAGCAATAGTTTTCAACCTTTTTCAAGCTGTGCATCCCTAAATATTTGGTATACTAACTTCACTGAATAGCAAACCTAATTATCTGAAGCTAATGAGCCAGTTAGGCTTTTAGTTGGCTTTGATGGACATTCTGTCCAGTGATTCCTGGAGATCTGGGGATCATAGTTTCAGAAGCAGTGAATGAGACTGGAGAAAGCAAAAGCAGTATGACAGGGGTTTTGACCCAACTCTCTAAGCTGCATTTCAGATGCTAATAAAAAACAGTTATGCTTGCATGTCACTTGTGTAATTAATTTTGTATTTAATCTATAAGTGAAAAGAAATACAGCAACTTGGAGCCATGTACATACTTGGCCATTCAGACTGAGAATGGTAATCTTCCCTGAAGGGACTAAAGTGAAAACCTAACAGCAGATTTTCACCAATCGTACAAAATACATCACAAAGCAGACAGTAAGTACAACCATCAGGCACACCAGTCTGCTAATGTAGGAGCAAAAAGTAGCTGGTTTCAGTTGTGGTGTCTGGTGAAGCTGAGAACAAAAGCTTTTTGTTCACCATGGAGGTGAAGTAAATCTGTGGACCAGTGGAATGAATATGTTGCAATATTTAAATTATGGGCAGTGACTTCATGATTACGAAGAGAAGCATGCAGAGATATGGTATGGAGGGGAAGCAGAAGTTATAGCTATCCCACCCCATTTTCTGCTCAGAGAACACTCTAGTGGCTCTTTTCAGTGCCATAGTAGGATAGATAGCCTTTGTAGTTCTGAAGAAAGTGCAAAGGAATTAAGGGGACTTTTTTTTTTTTTAAATTATTCAAAGTTTGCATTCAAAGTTTGACCTATTGCAGATCTTAGTTATAATAAATGAAGACTGCATGCAAGTATTTTTAAAGTGCAAAATACCTGGGTATTTTAAGAAAAAAAAATCTGTTCTGACAGGCATACAGTGTCAAGATTGTAATTAGAATAACAAAGGAAAAAGTACAAATTCACTTAGGATTCTGACAGCTGTTACAATTTGGTCACTTTGATCAAGGTCTCTACCTAGAGTTGTATTTTGTTAGCTTGCCCATTGATGGCACTAGGTTTGTGTTCAATTTCTAGTGACATACCATATTTGCATTTGTGTAAGTAAAATCTCCATAGCAGTGTTACGTGCAGTTTTCCTGGATCAAAATAAAGCAATCAAGGGAGGACTGGTGATAGATATAAACTTCCATAATGACATTCAGGTCTTCACTCCTCTTTTCCCTGACTGTTCCTTTTCCTTCACCAATACTCTGCAAGTATACTCTCTGCCTGTGCTCCAGGGATGGTAGAGTACCACAATCAACTCTGTAAAAACAGCTATATAATAATCTCTATAATAATAATAATGTATTAGCTATTGACTCAGAATAATTTCTGAGACAATTGCCCTATTTCACTCTTTCTTTAAGTAATTGAATCTTGAAAACAATTTCTGAACATTGCAGAGGCGGTTGTGCATGTCTGTAAAAAAAAAAAAGGGAATTTATCTTCAGAATTTATTTTTATTGTGTTTATTTATTAGCATTTCAGTTACACCAAGACACTGAAAAAGTAGATTAAAAAAACTGATGCATTATGCTCTGAGCAAGCAAATAACAAAAGAGCAACTCCTCTTGAAAGTGTTGGTCAGCCCAGCCCAGTGGCCAGCTGTTAATCAGGAGTCTTTTACTTTCACACTCTTGCTGACTCTTTTACCTGTAAACACCTTGAGCTGACTGTGCTCAGTGAAGCGGTTTAGCACTTGAGCCACGCTTGTGAAGAACTGGTGAAACTGTATTTCAATAAACTGTGAACAAAGATGTCAGGCCCAGACCTGTGCAAAGGTCTCTACAGACCAGATCTGTCCATATGTCTGCCTTTAGGTACGTAAGTCACATGTTTGTAGACTTCACTGAATTTGTGCACATGATTTAATGGGGTGACAGAGACACCTCGTGTACCTGCTGCAGTCATTTATAACTTCAGGCTTCAGCAGG